CCCCAAAACCCCAAAACCCCAAAACCCCAAAACCCCTCGTCTCTCCCAGACAATTGAATAATTTAAAAATATTCTTGTTATAATTTAAATTCATTTAGACCATGGATAGGAGCCGAGCGAAAAGTATGTGTGCAATGTATAACCTTATTTAGAAACGAGCAAACCCCAGTACTACACCAAAGGAGCTGGTTCAAGAAGATACGATAATTACTATAAGCACAAAGAGAGATATGGAGTCGAGGATAAAGAGAATATGCAATTTTATGAGGAGGAAGTTCGGCAGTCAAATTTTTATTACCAGAAAAATAATTGAGCTGACTCCAAACACGTCAGAGCTCATGCTAGATGCTTGGAGGAACCTAAGAAAGAGCCAAAGCACCACCAAGAGAAGCAATATGACCATTATAAGGCTCAGAAATAAGGTATATAGTCAGGATTTTAACAGAGGAGCCAGTCCGGTTTTGATGTGAAATGCTTCAAAGCCGACTAAATAAAATGCCATCTTATAAACCTTTACCGAAACTAGCTGCACATTCACCTAGCGAGCGGATGGGACCAACCCATACTCGTCCTTATAGTACTCAGGACGAATCTCCTCCTCTTAGCTGCCCATCAAGAGCTTACGAGAAGAAAAGAGTTGACTATCATAGTAGAAATAAGGAGCCCTTAGAAACCAAGAATGAGGCTCATAAGAAAGCAATGCATACGTACCAGCCAATGTATGATATACCTGTAAGTGAATTTGGCTTCACTTCTAATATTCTTTAGGCCAAGAAACTAGAGAAGAAAAAGGAAAATCCACCTCCTAAGCCAAAGAGGTTTGAATACATGGAGTCTCTAGAATACAGATATGCTCCTGAAGATCTTGATAGAAGTGATTCTAGTATCACTTCTGTGTTCATCGCTCCATCAAAAGCTGCAAAGCAAAATATGGACAGATTGGTTAAAATTAAAGAGAAAATTTTGAAGCCGATGGGTGATCACTCTCATGATGTTGATTTCTCCTCAATGACACATTACAGTAGGAGTATGACCAACGGAGATGGACATTTTAAGGACTCAATAGCTACTCTCTCCATTGATCAAGACGAAGATGACCTAGAAGACTTTAATAATGCTTCAAAGAATATTTCAAGAGAGGCTAACTTTAATTCCACCAATAAGATGGCCAATAATTATAGTAATAAATCTCTGAATAGCTATAATACAAAGTCAAGAGAAAGATTTGAGTATTACCAGTCAAACGAGGAGGTATACGATCCTAAAGTAATGGACTCTGTCTCAACAACCAGACCAGGAATGAATAACATTGCGATTTCAGAGCACCTCCAGAAAGCCATTGAAGAGAGAAAGAATGATTTAAATGACTACCAGAATTATGTGAACAAGGAGATAAAAGCTCATCAAGAGGAGCCTGATCCTAATAAGAACATGATTAATCTTGAGAATATAATCATCATCGAGAAGAAAATCAGTGAAATTTCTGAAGGCATCAATACAATGGTTGAAATAAATCTCCTCTGTGAAGACTGGTGGGAAGTAACTCAGGAAGAAACTATGCTCATGAATCTTGGAGAGGTATTCAAAGAACCAAAATATAAACAGATTTTGAAACAAGCTACTCTCTGTGAGTGAGTTACAGTCTCTATTGTGTACGTAATTAGCTTGCACTTGGAAACCCCTCCTTCAATAATTCTTACTTTACTGAAGAACATGCTGTTTTATGTCCATCAAAACTTCTTTGTGTTTGTAAAGTTGATCTTGTCCCGCCTTCCACAAGAGAGCCGTGATAATGTTTGGGCTCATTCCCTGCAAATGCTAGTTGAGAATAAGGGATTCAAGAGGAAGAAAAAGCCAGAGCTTTTTGCTCTTCTGAACCACAACATCTCTCAGCTGGTAGCAATCACCCAGAAAATTTGTGAAGGAAGGCTCACCCTCCAACAATTGGCTAAAGAGAAGGATATGTCTGACAGCCAGATGATGGAAAGTGATCAATTTAGTATAAATTTCTTCTTTTCTCCTCTCGCACAAACATTCTTAATCTTATCTGAAGAAATTGTGATGAAATGAGACCTTTTTACAGTGGAATCTGCACGAGAGGATCTCATCAATACTCTAGAAGGATTCAACTCAGCTATGGTCCTGAAGAGAGAACAGGGGGATATCCATGACATGTATAAAATTGGAGGCACTGCTTTCGGTGATAATGAGGAGCTCCAGGTGGTTGACCCACCTTATCTCCCTCCTCTTACAGAAAAGCAGCAAGCTAAAACTTATACACTTGTTCTTGATCTGGATGAGACCCTCGCTCATTACTTTGAGGTTGGTGAAGAGGGCAGATTTTTGATTCGGCCAGGTTGACAAAAATTTTTGAAAAATATGAGCAAATATTTTGAAATAGTAATCTTCACAGCGGCAATCCAGGATTATGCCGATTGGGCAATTGACCAGTTTGATCCCGAAGGATGTGTGCAATATAGGCTCTACAGACAACATGCTCTTCGCTGTGGTTCTGTCTATATTAAAGACCTTTCCAGACTTGGAAGAGACCTGAGAAGGATGATTATCGTTGATAATGTCCCAGAGAACTTCCAGCTACAACAAGACAATGGTATTTTTATCACATCTTGGTTTGATGATGTCACTGATACAGCTCTGACAGAGCTTGGCACAATTTTGATGGATATTGGCAGTAGAAAAGTAAAAGATCTTCGGGAAGAACTCAGAAGATTCAGAGACATGAACTCAACACCTACTTCTGAAATGGGTAATTATGAGGATAATTAGTTCGGTCTCTTTCAATTCATATCTGGAAAATCGGGGTTTTGGGGTTTTGGGGTTTTGGGGTTTTGGGG